GACCCCTAATAAGGTGTTAACCATGATCAGACGAGGTGGCCGAGTGGTTAAGGCGTTGGACTGCTAATCCAATGGGTTCTGCCCGCGTGGGTTCGAATCCCATCCTCGTCGACGGGTAATTTTTTTTGTATCTTGCACGGGCAKCATGTGTGTTCCTACGTCCCTATCGTTCTGGTTTCATTTACATGACCTCTACTTTATGCATCAGTATTACGCATGAGTAAAAGTTTGAGTTTTTGGTCACATGCTGTAATGAMACAACGTCAGCCAATATATCATTTTTATTCGTCCGTCGATACATTCGAATTCTTTCATCCAAATATTAATATAACGTTTGATCCGTTATTTTGCATTGCCATAGTATTAAATCCATTAAAGTCATTGGATGATTATGATTCTTGACTATGATACTATTAGTGAAAAATGCGGGTATGTGCGCCTCTACGAACGTCCAAAAATTGCACGTCAACTATTCACATCAAAATGTTTCAAAATCTATCCAATAAACTTTCCTTCATATTTTGATATATAATGACGACCATTTTGAGTTGTTTTTTCAAGATAAATCAAAAACGAGAATGGTGACCCCCATTTTTTTTGATTTTTGATAAATGCGATACTCGTCATTATATATCAAACATGAAGGAAAGTTTATTGAATAGATTTTAAATTATTTTGATGGGAATAGTTGACATGTTCAGTTTTTGGATGTTCGTAGAAGCGCACATACCTGCATTTTACACTAATAGTTCAAGAATCATAGTCATTTAATGACTTTGATGGATCTATTAATATAGTGTCTAGTAAACTTCGAGTTATGAGTACGTTTTGTTATATGAAAGTACTTTTATCTGTGAATAAAGGTTCTTGATTACAGCTTCCGGTTGCTACCGCAGTTCACTATAAACCCCATAAATTGAGATATTTGAAGAGCATCTAGCAAAAAAACGAGAATGGTGACCCCATCTTTTTATTGCAGTTTTTAAATATCCACAACATAGTTAATGTAAGTAAACTGAGTGAAAGATTGTCCGGTTAAAACGTTTTCAGTGTATTAGGAAAGGTACATTTGTTATTGAGGGAAGTGCCGTGGGGATTCAGAGCAAAGGGTCATCAGTAAATGATTTGTGCAAAAGGAGGGGATGACTAGTTACCCCCCTTACCACCCTTGGATCCGCTYATGCCTTTAACATGGATATGTTACGAAAGATCATGAACTGCCGAGCAGATCCTCAACCCTTAATGAAAACCATGCTGTTAGAGTGATTTGCATAAACCCGTGAAATAAATATAAACGTAATAATCATCATTATCATATTACCCGTATCTGCCCCGGCGCGCGCTCGGGCCGTACGGCTTTTAGCGAGCAGRGCCGTRCGAATCCGTACGGCCCTGCTCAAAACCTGAAACCGTATTGACATAATTTGCAACTTTGAAAGTATCTTWTTYATTTAGGGTCATATGATAAAATGCTTATTGACYGAGTTAGGTCGGGCCGTACGGGAAAATATTTGGCTCTCGGTCATTTGTAGGGACATCGCTGCGCTCGGTCCGTACGGCATCACCTCGAGCCAAATATTTTCCCGTACGGCCCTCCCACTCAGTCAATAAGATAATAATACAAACTAGTACGCGTTATTACTCATTAGACTTTATACAACAAAGTAATAAAACACAATCAATAAAGTTTGACGGAATACTTAAATGTCTTGCTAATAACCGTTATTACACATTATGCGTTGCACGGGTTTATGAAAATTACTCTAACAGATTTTTTTGCTTCATTAAACTACAGTTAGATAATTTTGCTCCTGATAAACTAACACATATTTATATTGCAATTTGGGAACTAAATATTGATAATTCCGTAAATACTGTACAATGAAGATGAATGCTTATCARTAAAAGCTGTGACAGAATTAGCAGGCCATTTGTTTATTTATCGGAGGGGCGGGGAACAGTGGGCAGCGGGGTTCTMTTGCTAACCCATACCAGAAATCTTACTTCTGTTGTTGCATAAAATTGGCCCCTCCTATTTTTTCCATTCTATTAATAATCATTGTAAAGGTGCCGTATGAATCATTCTTTTGTGTACCCATTCCCCCCCCCCCTGCCACTTGAACCTCAAATCCCTCCYCCCTATTCCTTAGTAAAAAATGAATAGTCCATTACGTCAGGCATTGAATAGAAGTCCTTAGGATTCTCTAATCTTGACTAACTAGTACTGCCCTTAAGTTCAGACATTGCCTAAAAGGGCTGTTATTCTGAGCACTTCATTCTCTAGTTATAAGTAACAGTTTACAAAAAGTAAGGAGTAGTAGTCCTTGGGGGTATAACCCTCTCATAATCAGGTACTGCCTGGAAAAGCTTGGGCTCTCTTGTATCTGCATCAGTAAAGGATAGTATGGAGGCAATGTTACCACAGCGATAGCAGTAGTTGGGAGCAGACCATACGGTCACTAACTTCTCATCAAACATGTACTTGTATCCTTCATGTACCAGTTGATGTGCTCTGCATATGAGCTTCAGGTTATTGATGTGAACAAACTGCAAAAGAAAAACTGAAGTCAATTTTTGCTGAATTGGCTCAGTTCATTGAGCACCCGACTGTYGTGTGGGAGGTTGTGGGTTTTAGCCTTGGCAGCCAGACCAACACTCTGGGTCTTAAAATAACCTAGGARAAGGTGCTGCCTTTGTAATTATATCTACAAATAGTTAGACTTTTGAGTGGCTCWGATGACAACTTTAAATAACGGTCCCATATTTCCTCGCTCTGGTTGTCGTTACAACAAAACTATGAAAATTGGAATTATTGGCCACATACCTCACTAGTGGCCGTTAGGTCCAAAGAGCCATCCTGCACCTCTAGGGCTGATAGCCCAAGTGTCCACTTCTTCAGGATCAGACCAAACAAGGTCTTTACTCTTGTCAAGGAATATGGTTTAAATATCTGACTTACATGTAGTGTATGAAAAGATCATTGAAAAATGCATTTTCAGAGCTCACACTATTTGTGTCTTATATATTGAGACCCACAAAATGCTGAAAAGAACTGCATGGTTGTGAGAATGCCATTCAGTAATATTATTTCAGTTTTACTACTGGTTCCTATATTATCATCGCATTTTTCAGATCGAGTATAAGCTCCAGTAGCTTTCAGTAGGCATTTAGGTCATGACCACTTAATACAATGCATTATGGGATACATTGGGGGAAGAAAATTAGATTAAGAAAATATATACACTGTGAGTGACATGTAAATTACCACGTAACTACAAGTATTTTGTCATAAKTCATAATGGGCGCATTCAAACCGTTAAATGATGTGCAAGTACTAAAGGATACCACAGAATGCTCCTTTGTGAGGTATTTCCATATTGCGATCAAGAGTTCGTATCTAAAATAGGGAAAGGGAACCATTAAAATAACAATTTAGTAACAAACACATACAAGGTTTAGGACATGATTAATAAAGCAGCTAGTTCCAAGCATGCATGTTGTAATCTAAGTATGTCTTTGTTACCTGGTCTATAGTCTTAATGTCAGGCGAGAGGCCTCCATGGACACAGAGTACCTGCCCATCAATAATCTGGTAAAAAGACAACAGACAAAATAGAGCTCAGTCTTTAGCTTGAATTGGGTGTTTTCCAATTTCAGAGAATGTGTCATTCCAGCCTATAGGAATGAGACTCTTTCAAGTTCATTCTTGTAYGTAGGATGCATTTGAGTTAAAATTCTGTATACACCTAATTGAAAAAACGTTGTCGGGTTCAAAAAAAGGTTACATCAAAGCTAAGACCGAAGGGGAGCATGGAAAGACAAACAGTTATGCTAATTTAATGCGTATTGCAGTTTTCCCTTCCTGTGCACATTTTGTGCATCATGGCTTTGGCATGTTGTTAATCTAGGTCGACCAACTTTGCYCTACTGTGCATTTTTACATGTCATATGCAAATATAATACACATTTTGGAGTACCCAAAATCCTTTTCAGTCTTAGCTTTGATGATATGACCTTCTCGAACCCGACTACATTTTTTGAATTAGGTGTACACTACTTTTATAATTTCATTTTATTTTCAAGCATTCTGCTACACTGACCAACTCGCTCAGTTGTACTGTAAGATATTTCATGTAGCCTTGAACATGGCCATATGGCTGAAAGCTTGGCAATAAAATAGAATCATAAACGTAGTAAATAACAAAACTTAAACTCAAATGATACTCTTTGTTTGAGTTGACCCATATTCATGTGTCTTCTCATGCACAACCATTAAACAAAGAAAACTATGTATGAATGACACAGAGTCTGAAAAGGGGAAAACATTATGCCCAAGTTAAGGATATCTATTCTTTCAACACTTTTCCTGCATCAGTCAAGTTGCTGATGGTGTACAGATTAATTGTTGCTCATCTATCTACATAGACTACTATTCAATAGTGGACTATTTAATAGCGCGTGTGTTGCATATGGTGCTGTGTTATATACGACTGTSGCAAGGCCTTTCATCATCTTTCACAAATGTTGAAATTTGAAWTACATAAATGTTCTTATATAAAAGAAGACTGAAAAAAATTATGTGAATATATGAACTGCTGCCATTGTGAAAATGTCCAATATGAGCTGGAAGTAATCAAATGTGTTATATTAGACCTTCCCCAGGTGTAGCTGCAGGGAATATACCAACATATACCATATAATACTACCTACTGCTAACTGCTACCTAACTTGATTAGCATTGCTATTTTTAGGTAGCAAGTGGTTCCTCAAATTTTTATCGTAATCTTCAAAATATTTAACAATTAATTTGCAAATCAGAGGGCACAAATAAAGTTCTATTCTATAATAGATCTTTAAAATGGTCATTGATAAAGTACAAGGAAATTAACATAAACCAACATTYGTTTAACACAACTTACAGCAGCGATAGTTAATAAGTCAAAGACTTTACAGCAATATCTCCATGCATTGGCATTACCATACTTTGTTTGACATTCATCTGCAGAAAGAACGAGAAGTGAAAGGTTACTCACTATATATCTCAATGGGATCAAATACATTTATTTTTTCCCCCATCTGGCTGTTGAAGCTCTGCTGGCAAATTGTTTTAATTTTAATGAGGTAAAGTGCTTGAAGCATTTTTATTGTATAACAAGTGTAGTGAATACCTGTACTTCCCCACTCCCCATCCTTGATAAATATTATCCATTTTTCATTTTCAACACCAAAAAAAAAAA